GGATTCGCAAAGTCTAGCACAGGAAGCTTGTGGCTGTAGCCTAAAGAGTCTAATCTGCAATCATCGACTCTTCAAAGGATGTTCCCACGGCGAGGGGCTGAGGCCTCAAGATTCTAGGCCGTTGATGCTCGAGAGGGCAGTGGCCCTTGGTCCAAGTCTTTAAAGGCTACAATGAAATAGAAGAGGAAACTGGCTGGCAATGAGGGGTCTCTGCGGACTCATATTTTACGCTCAGCAGAGGTCGATAAATAACATTTGGGAGGTATAGCAGGAAATGGAACGAGCGAGAAGGATTTTGTAATAGTTGATTTCAGTCTTTGGTTCCAATTTCGTCAACTCTAGGCTTCCTATGCAAGCTCACGTGGTGCGACTGAGATAAGCCTATAAGAAGTGGTCCCGACTGTTCCATCGGCCCTGTCCCCATAATGAGCCTGACTGAACAATTGCAAATATCCAAGTAGTATGAGACTAAGCCAAATATATCTACACGAACGGTCTATTGAGTAAATTATTCAGGTTTCCCGATTTGGCGCCTCGAGGCGCCTGCAAGTTTTATGGGAAGATATGTAGTTTCAGTAGGATGACTCAATTGGACGTTGAGAAGTCTCACACTCAGATTTCATTTGCAGACACGACTCGAGGTTGAGGCTAAAGGCGTAGAACCTCTTCCGTGCATACCCACCCCAGGGAAAAGCGTGAAAAGCCTGCGGTTATCCGAGTGTGCTTTCATCATGCCACAAATATAGCATCAGTGCGAGAGAAAGTGGTGTGTGGGTTTTATCGGATGCGAACCAGCTTTCTCCTATCTCAAATGGGGTGGGTGTTCAAGCTACTCAGATTCTACTTCTGAGAATGAGGCCAACAGTGTACGACTGCACCATCCGACCCTCTGATGGTCAAGTATCAAGGAATAATTAAAGTTCTAGGGGGTATCTGGAATGATAGAAGTGAACGTTGACCGTCAAGTCGATACTGTACGAATCGGAAGAGATTGGGGATTTAAGGATCAGCGAGGTTTTTGCTTTTACTCAACTTCTTTTCTGGTGATTAAAAGAGTTGGAGTTTGATCTACATCTAATTGTCTATGTATGTTGTACCTCGCTTAGGTAGAACATTATGTTCTGATTACGTGATGGAATAACATTCACACCACCGACATCATTACCACTCGAGACCTCACCAGAGCTGGCAGCGATGGAAGATGGGTAGTCTTCGTCTACTCCGCACTGCGTGCAGTTCGGTCGGGTATGTCTAGATTTCAACAATAATGAGCCCTCAGTCATTGAGGTTGGAGAGCGCATTGATTCAAGTAGCTACCGAAGTGAAACTAAGTAGAGAATTTGGAGTCACTAGTCTATCAACAACGCGGCCTACTCGATAGCTCCAATTATTCCAAATCCTGACATCTATCATGATATGAAAATCTTCAACAGACGCCATGGACCAATCTGATGGGACTATGGTCGCAAGAGACCCAAGCTGACTATGATCACAATAGAAGAGAATACCACACTCGTCATCTCTGGCCAGTCTTTAAGCAAATACGCCATGGGCGTATTAAAAGCAGACTGTCAATGTCCTGGCGGATGGAAACTCGATGCGCCGTAGCGGTGTCCTCTGCGAGCCTACAGCTCTCACTGCACAGCCTGCAGCGGCGAGACTGGATGAAAATTTCGTCGCGACCTCCATGGGAATGGCGAAAGGCTCATGCGCCCTGTTTCATCTTCATCCCTCAGCACATGCCCCGAGCACCATCATCACCAAGCCGAGCACGATGGGATCAGATGGCAGGGTCGAGGCCCTCATCACCAACAACCCTTGGCCGCGGCGAAGCCATGCCATGGGTTTCCGAGGCCCACCTCGCTCCCGAGACGTCGGTGGTGGGTTGAATGATTTATCATCTAATGTCACGGGGGAGATGACTGTGGACTAGATCAGATTAGAATTTATTGTCGCCCTATCTGAGTCTATGACTATAGAAGATGATGATAACGGACACACGCACTCCGTGCGCCTGCGGTATCTAGGCTCTTTTTTGTATCAATTCAGTGTGCGCAGCTATCTAGCTAAGACCCACAACCAGCGCCATTTACACACACTAGATGACTCTCTTGACATGTTGTCTAGGCCTCGCCTGGCTGGGCCCATTACGCCCGAGTTCGTTTTTGGTCGTAACAAATGCGGATGGGAGACCTGTACAGGCCGTGGCTCCCGTCAAAGAGGAGCGCCATGTGCTACTTCCCACTGGCCCCAGAAGCACAGCGAGCCAGTCCAAAATAAGTGGCCGAATGAAACGAGCTACCCGTACGGCGTGGGCCGAAGGGGGCCGTGGCATGCCGGTCGCGTCGATCTTTCAGGTAAGCTCAGGGTAGCTGAGGCTCGTCTGAAGAAGGCGAGGCACCGCCACACGAGACACGACTCTTTCGGTAATGGCCGGTTTCAGATGTGTGGGGCTGGGGAGGAGACTTTTGGCGCGTCCCTGGGGACGGGTGGGAGGGCTACGGACCCCGAAGCGGGCCTGAGAGGGAGGCGAGTCAGGGTAGGCGGCGGCGGCGGCGGCGGCGGCGCGAAGGGGCCACTTGCGCTGCAGCTTATGCGTCGTCCGTGGCAGTCGCGGAGCGTGAAGCCTCGACGCCATGAGTGCCCGAGGGGATGCACGAGGCAAAGTCGATGATGCCTCTACCATTACCGTACACGCGGCATGCGGGTCTAGCCTTCCGCTCACCTCGGGGCGTCGCGCTGCTTGCCGACGCGACCCAGACGGACTCTATCTATCTCCGTCGACGTGGGTCTTCATGTACATGCACACCAGGGGCTCGCGTTCAGCTGGCTAAAGTAGTGGACGCTCGCGATTTGACCGGGAAAAAAAAATGTAGATGGCCGCTCCAGACGGTCTTTCCTTCCACCACCGCATCCGAATGGCTAGTTGGAGCTTCGGCCAGTACACGCGTGGCCGCGCCCCCTTCGAAATCACCCGAGCTTGACTAGCCGCCCAATGCCAAGACGCGTCTAGCACTCTGTGCGGCAAATATTCTTGGATCTCCGCCACAGTCTGCTATTAATAGTCTCCCACCCGCCGCCAACCTCTTCCACCCTGAAAAACAACCTTTCCATCGTCCCTACTGCCTTTCGACGCGTGCGCGCATCGACCCCACGCAGCGAGATGCGGGTGCGCGAGCGGGGCACGGACAAGCTGGCACACCGGGCTGGTTTCAGAGCTTCCTCGAGCCGCTGTCCTACACCGCGTGCGCATGGCGGTTACTGCAGATCTGCCTGACGTGGGAGGACATACATTCCCTTGTATGGCTTGCGCAGTGGCATAAGATAGACTGCGAGTTGAAGTGCTTCACCAGCGCATAATCATGGATTGCCACGATTGTTCGTTGAGTCTAAAGTATGCTCGTTGTCCTCATTCCAAACCGAGAGTTCCCGCAAATCCGCATTACATAAGTGCAGATCTCAGCCTTCCGTGATCCGGAAACACATCGCCATGATTGATGCCCCCACCACGGTCGCGCTGCAGAGACAGGCCCCCGAATGCAAGGTTCAGGCGCAGCGGAGTTGCAATGGCGTCTTCTCCATCTAGACCAGTCGGAGAAGTCTTGGGGTTGGAGACACGTGGTGGGTGACCAACTGTCGTCCACTTGCCACCCCCGAACAATGCGAAAATTGATCCGTCGTTGCTCACCCGGAATTAGGTCAGAGCTCGCATCTCAACCCTGTTCGTGGCTGTAGCAGTGATTCATCGTCTTTCCTTGATCTCCTTCCAAGCAACCGAAAGACAAGTAGGCCCATCAAGAATTTGGGCGGAATGTCAGCCTTAGCCCTGCATTCTATCTTCAAATTCACTACATTAGAAATCCTTGGTCGACCGGGGGTAGGCGGGGATTGCCCGTCGTCGAGGCTCTTTAGCGGCTTTTCTCCAGTTCCGAGGAGGTGCGATTGCAAAATCACAATCCGATATTACTTTACAAATGGACTCATCTTCTGTAGACCGGGCAAACCCTACATACTCACAACCAGAGAACCCGAGTCTCTAATTAGTTTCCAACTTTAGTTTTTACCGGTTAATCAGAATGAAGTTAGTTCCCGCTAGCTAATCATGCCCTCTATGCATCATGAATAATAAGTTGGAATATGAAAATACCTGTTCCCTTTAAGACGATAAAACGAAAGCAGTATGTTAATATGTACATGTTCATCTCCGCTAATGTAATGCGCCTAAATTACATACATTTTAACCCACCTGAGCCCGTTCCTTTACTCCGAACACCGTAAATCCAAGATAAGTTTCATTTACAACACAGAAATTTACATACGTCCCGAAAGCCAAACGACCCGTCCTAATTGAAGAATTTCACCGGCTAATTCAGATAAATATTCCACAGCACCTTTCATGGCAAATAGCCCTGCCAATCACCATTTGATGTTCAAGGTCACCAAATTATTAGAACCTATTCCTTAGCTGAATGAGTTTCACTGCCCTTAAACTTCAAAGTATACGGGTCCTGGATTCTCGATCGTGGTCCATGTGCGAAGAAATCGTAAAAGTATTGTAATGGAAAGTTGAGCCTTGGTTACTCTATTATGGGTCTCAACTCGTTCAGAACTAATGATTGAAAATATTCCGATATAAATCATAAATAATTACCGATCTCGCAGCGAACTGGTAAGCTGATGGTCTGGCACCAACTTGTGTTAAATGTAGTCGGAGAAAATCTCTGTAAAGATGGCTACAGCAATCTATGCCATGGTTAAATCCCAGAAATGCACTCTATTGCTCGCATAGCTGCATGTGCGCTAGAGTGGGTTTATATGTGAGTCGTCAATGTTTGCTAAAGTAATTTTCTAAATCCAAGAATAGAATTTCATAAATCGTTGCGCATGTGAGAATTTGTTACTCTCCTTGCCACATTTAGAGCGAAGTTCATGAACGTATTGTAGTAATATGGTGAGACGTAAGAATGTAATAACTTTGCTTGAAAAAGCTTGTAGAAGGCTCACAGTATTAGCCTTTGAAGATTTTTTTGGATTATCATATCCTGTACGGAAGCCATGGTAACTTTGAGGAGATCAGTATGAGTAGCCTCTGTGAAATGAGGATAAACTTCTCGCCCTGGAGCGCGGTTTAAGCCGACAAACTTTTTCATAAAATACTTGCTGGTTTGTTGGGGATCTCTAGTGTTTCCTCTGAAGTCGGTGAAGCCATATTTGGTAATGGGACTTTTGGCAACCTTGGCCTTAAAAAGATCCATCTTATTCAAGAAGAGAATAAGGGACGATTTTTTAAACCAATGAGAATTTGCAATTGATTCCCAGAGCATTAGAGCCTCCTGCATCTGGTTCTAGCCCGTCTGTTAGCGACGTTCGTTGGGTCTATGTCTCAAACCTCAAACTTACGCTTTCTTTATCTTCCGCTAGACATTGATCGTATCCACTGATGGCAACTAAAAATATAAGTGCATTTACGTTTTCAAAGCAGTGAATCCATTTTTTTCTCTCAGATCTTTGACCGCCAACATCAAACATTCGGTATTGTAGAGATCCCAAGTCAAAGATAGTCTCTGTAATCCCTGTTGTCCGTAACCGTGCACGAAGTACGTCTTGGTCAGTTGGAATAAATTCTTTATTAAAAAGTCGGTCAAGATCGGTGAAGAAACTAATTAAGATTAATATTTTTGCTCCAATATTTGTCAATCACCCGGTTTACTTGTCTCGAGACATGAGAGTGATGTCAGTTGTCAACTTACTAACGCAGATTGTCATGAAGCGCAAATTTGCCATTTTCTAGTGCTCGTTGAAGCCCACTATCGTTCCACAGGGCTTTAAAAGCAGGTAAATATCCAATGGGTATAGCTTCGTATGGTAATAAGTCTTTCTCTTCTTTGATAATGGGGACGTGTGCCTACAGCAAGTAAAACATAATGGTTCAGAATAAGGCTAACAGTAAAGATTTTTGGGAGCTAACCATTGTGCTGGGAGAGTCAAACTTCATGCTATCCTCCTCCATGGCATCAATTACTAGACGAAGACCATCAACAATATTATTAAATATTATAATGCGCCACTCTTCTTTCTCGTTCTTCGAAAATCCTTCTTTGGTATAGATCAGTCGCATTTGCTTTAAAATTGTTGACTTTCCACTTTCACCGGCGCCTTTAATCATGTCAGAGCTGGTTGATAGAAGAAGCTTTAAATTAGGACAAGAGGTTTTGATTACCTAGTAACAGTAGCTTAACTACTCTACGTCGAGCCTTTTCATCACGGCTTATGAGGGTATCAATCTCCCTGCTTCGTTTGGCACCCGCGCTATTCCACCTGCTAAAACACATATTGGGAGACTGGTGACGTTCTATATGTGACAGCGAATAAAATTTGAATTTTACTGGTGCTTTACAGCAATCGGTTTCTGGTACTGTTAATCGTTGAAAAGGGTGAATAGCTCCAAATAGGGAAATTTGATGGATGTTAGATTTCTAGTGCTTAATGCACTAATTGTAGACTAGACGACACACGGCCAAAAATGGCAAGCTTCAGAGGAATGACTGTGGATTGGATGGTAAGGTGGTGATGTCGACAAAACTATTAGAGACGAAGGGTCTGAGGGATGGGCGATAATGGAACCTACTCTTACTGACACCAGTTAAGAACTTAGAGACGCGTGACAAGATCAGGCAGGTTAACGTTCTGATTCGATGCGCACTGGCCTCGTGGCGAAGGTATCAAGGGCGAGGGCTGAGATGATTTAGTTTGCTTATCCAGGCGGCAGGTGGATCTGGGGGCGCATGTGCCAGAGAATCCCAGGTCCACATTACAAGCTGGGTAGACCCTGTATGAAGTTGGGAACGAGCTTAAGGAAGAATAGGGAAAATTATCGGCCAGTGCGTTAGGAGTCAAGGAGGCGAGAGCAGAGATAGTAACGCACCAGTTATCGGTAGGCTAACGGAGAAGACGTGAGGTCAACACCTTTTTTTCAACAAGAGGCAACCTGTGTGGCCAGAAGTTATGGGGCCATTGGATGCCAAATTGAAGAGAATCGTTCACTAGGCACAGATGCAAAAGTCCTCGATATCAGGGAGTTGAAGATAAATCTCATAAATTAACACGTTGGAATATGTAGATCAGATCAAGGGACAATTTAGAAGCTTGCAGATTCGCAGGGATAGGTCAAGCTATATATATATAAATATATATACATCAGCAGGATCAGCTATGGCGCCTCTATGACACGGACCGCGTGCGAATGCAATAACAGTGGTCACGTGAACTCTATTTAGATCGCAAGACGCATCTACTGAGTAAAGTTGTCCAGAGCCCAAACAGTCCATATCGCACTCTCCCCCTTCATCTAATCACACCCACACGAGTAGCCAACTCCAGAGATCTTTGGCTTCACTCAAGTCTCAACTTTAGAGTCCTTATTTGTGAATTCTTTGTGTGGAAATCGTTGTTTTCGAGGGGGATCAAGCAAAGTCGGGTTCACGTGATTGAAACAATATCATAATAGATATATATGTAAAAGGCGTCCTGGATGTGAGGACTTGCAAGAATGATGTTGTATAACGAATCAATCCAAGTAACCACTAATGTGGATCTACACACATGGTTTTAGTCGTGTATATAGCGATAATGTGGCCTATTTGATAGTCGCGAATGTTACTAATCAAAACAAGCGGTATTGTATGAAATATTTTTTCGACCTTTGCGATGAAAGACCGTGCTGGTTCGTGTAGATTCGGTTAGTCTAAACGCCGAGAGTACCTCTACTCCGTATATGGGCGTGTATCTATCCGGACCGGAGATCTATGGCAAAGATCACCGTCTTAAGATCATCCTTAAAGCAGTATATTGCTTGTATGTTGACAATGTAAAATTACTAACCGTCGCATCATTCTGTTAATGAAATTCACTACGTCAAGACCATATATTCATTTCAACGAACATGCTTGGAGTCACAATCTGCTCGAGTGTGGAATGAATCAAGTAAGCAAGAAGAACAACTCCGTGGTCGGATGGTCAAGTAGTACTCTATCCTCACAGGGCTTGTACCCCACTTGATATGTGTTTGCTAGCTTTATTCCTGTATTACAGTCAGATTCGCTAAAATTTTCCAAAAATAGGGAGCCATGAAAATATGAACAGTAATAATAGGCATATAAATCTCGGGTAAAGTCAGGACTCTTAGCCAATATTCACACCCGAGATCATTGTGTGCACGGGAAAATTGGCTGCGGCATATTTAGTGTCGGCCCGCCTTTGCAGCGGTGGTGAAACGGTCAGCGTGCAGCGTTGCCCAAATAGAAAGCCATTGACCAGAAGCCAATGGATTGCAAATTATCACAGCAAATAAATTTGATATTCAGTTGCGTTTAGAACCGGGGGGGGGGGGGTTGTCAAACTGAGAGGTAGTAATTGATTGATCAAAATTGAACGCCAAGTAATTGAGAGTGACTCCCTGCGGTGAAAATCATATTTTAATGAAGCGTCACGAGGAAGGGGAACGGGACACGGGGCGACATGGGGGAAGAACTAGGGCTTTTCCTTTTGTACCTTTTTAGCCTAGTGCGACTCGTCATGTGCGTGGAGAAGACTAGTGGACTCACACATCCATGTATTTTCCACGAGGTGTCGGGTATATCCCGTCACTCTGAAGTTATCAATTGTTGTGGGGATCTAAGACTCATCACCTGTCAGCGGTGATCCCTACAACCAAACAGCCCTCTCTGTTAAGTCAGCAGAGATAAGAATAAGTCCTAAATATTGTTGCCACGAAGCATGTCTAGGAGGGCAAGACTGAACACCTGTATGTGGTGCCCTCTACGAACCTGGGAGTGAAATATTCTCCCAAAGCCAAGTTCAGCCAAATTTCGCAATACCAAAGAAGTTGGCTCACGAGGCAATGATTCAAAATACTTAACCACGTCAATTTTCACTCCCAACGAGCTTGACTCCTACCTAGGTCTCATCAAGTCTCCAAGTACGACCTAGTACATCCTCATTCCAATGATCACACCTCTCGTCGACTTTCTCTGGCCTCAGTTGACCGCCAAATACACGCCCACGCCGATATTTATACCCGACGGAGAAAGCAAAGCGTGGAGCACAAATCTGGGAGATAGCTCTTCAGGATGGACGTGAGAGGGATCAGGACAAGTTTACAAGATGATGCAAATGGAAGGATATAACCTTGAAGGGAGTAAAATTCTTATTTTTGGCAAGGAGTTTTTCGAATTGAGCTTTGTGCGCGCCAAGACTTCGCTTGCGAGAGTGCAGCTGACACTATAAACACAAGCAAACGATGGAAGGTGTTATGGTCCGCCTCCTGGCGGTGTTCTCCGGTATAGTTTGAATAGCCTAGACACCTACTCCACTTGGAAAGGAGACATCCCAGATTACATTTCGCGCGGAGAAAAGTTGATGGATGACGAAGGCATGTCTGGATAATTCAGGGTTTTTGAGACGTTCCCCTGGGTGGGTTACACGGATGAGGGTTGACTTGGGGTGAAGAAAAAGCCACTACAACTTCTCAGCGGTACTTGCAAATGAAACCCGAGGCATGAGTGCTCTTCCTTTACGTTGAATCATCTATTCTGTACATTTCTTTGATATTGTGTCATAGCTAGATAGCTGCATACGCAATATAAAACTGATGCGAAAAAAATAAAATCCCGAGCCTTACGTAAGCCACTGCAAGCTTGGCTACCAAATAACATCACATGAACTACCACTACGAATGGAATGGGAAAACTACGATTCTAACCATACAAGTCATTTTACAATAACTTCGCAGTAGTACTTGCGAATGAAATCCGAGGCATGAATACTCTAATTTTATGTCGAGTCATCTATCATTCACTTTTTCTCTGGTATCGTGTCATAGCTAGCTAGCTGCAAACGCAATTAGGATCTGATGCAAAAAAAGAGCCTATAAAAACTGAGCTACCCGGCATTTAGCTCTTGTAGTCCAGAGTCGTGCACGATCATCATTTACAGTAATTTTTAAAAATCCAGGTAGTTGGACATTAAGCAGTTTAAAAAAGGAAAGTAGAAGCCAAGCAAGAAGAATTATTACAATATGCTTTTAATGGTATGATGGGGCTCAGAGTACCTGAAAAAGCTGGACGCACTACAATTTTTTAGAAAAAGTCGAATACGCAAGACAGGCAGTTGTTATGTTCAACAAAGGACGTTCAATAATCCTCCCTGCTCCAGGGTCTTGAAGTCGCTCATGCATCCCTAAACAATATCAAATACCAAGTTATGATGTATTCCAAGCCGAGTTCGTCACCTAATATCATGTTCAGAGCCTCGGTGGGATACAAAACTACTAATTCCAAGACTCTTTGTACTTTACCTTCCAATATTGGATACACCTATTGAGACTTTTACCCTACGATAACATTTCTCTTTAGACATTTAGCAAAGATCACAGGTGGAAATATAACTGCTGGCAAAAATCATTTTGTGTGCAGGACCTTCTACTGCCCATAGCAGGACTGCATATAAGACATAGCTACTCCTTTAAAGCGTCAGGTCAAGCTAGCCGGTAATACGTAGCAGGTATGTCAATTTTAGAGTACGTTCCTCTCTTTTCCTAGCTTCCCGCTCCGATTTATATCGCGGAATGAATTGAGAATCGTGGAGAGAAATCTAAAATATTTCATCGAGCGTGACTATCGTGAGAGTGCCAGGTTTAGCCTTTAACATTGGTAAAATATATGGCTATGGAGTAACTTATGTAGCATGGAAACCCTACCATGGGGTAAATGTCAAAGTAAGAGAAGATGCAAGTGGCTCTTGATGATTCCAAAGCTGCTTAATACAAAGATGAAAATTTCTATTACTTACTTTTGTGTGGTCCTCGTTGTCGGGCCAGATTATCGCATTTTTTTAGGGACATAGCAGGGGTTTATCTGCCTGCTGTAATAGCTGTTTATATTACAATTTATGTCGATTGGCCTTATTTTACGTTTACGTAAGGTTAGTTCAATGCAAAACGAAAGGTACGAAAGTGAGGTATGGATTCTCGTTGTCATTGTTTCTATCTATCTTTAAACATTGCGAACGTGTAGTTCGTGGTATTGGCTGAGTCATCAAGACAATGACTCAGCAAATGAGAGATGAACTACGCTTAGTCCAGAGCAAAATGAACTACTTTGCGACAATTTATCTTATTTCTAATATAGTCATTGTCTTCGTCTTGTATGTAGTGGAGAGAATTGTAGGAGCAATTTCTTGAGTCGGAAATGGAGACCTAATTCTTTTTTTTTCATCAGATGTGTATTGCGTAGACAGCTAGCTAGCTATGACACAATATTAGAGAAAAGTTACA